ACTTCACGAAGGGCAAAATAGATTATTTCCTCGCTCAAGAAGTCATCATTTTTTTCGCGGACGTCTTCGTCTTTGAAGAAAATGGGTTTTACGCTTGAGTAGGTCGGATCCTTTTGTTCGTTCGTTACGTAATTTGCTTTGTGTTCACTGTCTTTGTTTGTGTCAGATATTACGTCATCAACCAAGATATCCTTAGTTGTTCGGGTGAGCGGATCTTTATGGGTGCTGGTAGGCCTATTGCTGCTGCTTGCGGATGCCTTATTCGCCATTTTGGGATGTCCGGTAGGCTTAGACATGGCTCTGTCGAGAAAACGTTTAGCGGTGTTTTTCTGGTCGAAGAGTAGCGATTCTGATCAATAAAAGGCGAACCTTATATCTTCAATAATGTATGTACTCACTTAAAGTATAAAAACTTTCATTCAAAAATCATGAAATAAGCGTATATTATGGAGCTGTAGGTGACTGTACCGTAGTTAAGCCAATCTAACGCCCTCTCTGCTGGAATTTTTATTGATCTCTCCAAGACCTTCGATACGATTGATCATAAAATGCTTTTATCCAAACTATTTCATTATGGGATTCGTGGACCTGCCTTAAATATTGTTAAAAGTTACTATCTAATAGAGTTAGTGAACCAAATATTTTTTTTTTTTTGGAATTAATTTACCATATCTTAAAAATCTACAGTTGAATTTATTATTGTAATGCTTCTTAAAACTTCATTAGTTCTGTTATACATTTGTTTTCCTAAATCTAGCTTACAATATTTGATTTGAATTATTAATTCACAGATTACAGAACCATTTAATTATCGTGCTATCTCAATCTTATCTGTCTCCGATTTTTTTTTTGGAGAGAATAATTTATAATAGAACATTAAAATTTACAAATAAATTCAACATCAATTAGTAGTTTGGACTATAGCACCTCTATGGCTCTAATAGATCTCGCTAATAAAATTGTAGATACCTTTGAAAATAACTGTCTAGCTGCTGGAATTTTTATTGATCTCTCCAAGACCTTCGATACGATTGATCACAAAATGCTTTTATCCAAACTATTTCATTATGGGATTCGTGGACCTGCCTTAAATATTTTTAAAAGTTACTATCTAATGGAGTTAGTGAACCAAATAAATTTAATTCAATTTCTACATTCAGTCCAATATCAGTGATGTTCTGCTAATAAATTAACAGTTAACCATAAAAAAAAATATAGCTGCATTCTGTTTGGGATAATGAAGCTACTAAACTAAATTATTGATGCTTCTTGAAATAAAATATTTATTGATAATGAATTACTCTGTGTTTAAAATGCCAAGTTTTTGTGTGTATTTTTATAGTGGGTTGACATTGAAAAACATATTAATGAAATTTAAAACGAATGCTCTAAAAGCCTCGGCATAAATTCTTCGTTTTCTTCTTGATGTCATTCGTATTCGGTATTGCTCTTTAATCCTTCCTTATTTGAGCTACTGCGACATTGTGTGGTGCAATACCTACCTATCTACTTTTTTTTAAACTCAAAATAATGCAAAAAAGATTATCAGGATTATATCTGGCTGTCATCCACTTTCTCACTCTTTTCCTTTATTTTGTAATTTAAGTTTTAAATTGCCTGATATTAATGATCATTCTCTTCAATAGTGTACATTTTTGTACTCATCCATTGCATCAATTCATCTAAATATATTTTTGCAATATTTTCAGACCTAATTTTTATCTATGTAACTAGAGTACAAGGGCTATGTCTCAAATTTATATCCCCACCAACAGAACAAGTTATTTAATAATAATAATAATAATTTGCGATTTGTATAGCGCCTCCCGTTGGACCAACCTCGAGGCGCTTCACAACAACGGAAGGAAACGGAAAAGAGAAAAAAAAACCCATGAACCTAGACTAACAAAGAAAAAAGAAAACGCCTAAACGAACCAAACCAACACCGCACCGTTTATCGGCAAGCAATTTAAGGCGTAAAGCATGATGCATGACTCACATGTGCTCAAGTGTGTTATTTCCTAAATAACATTACATATTCTGGATCCAAACTTTTTAATACTTTTCCCGACTCAATCGTTAACTCCGTTTCCAGGAAAACTTTTTCCACCAAACTAAAAAAACACTATATTTCAAATTACTAAAATATAATCTTTAATTCCACTTTTACGATTATTGTTACCGCGGTCTCGCCTTTATTAAATATCCACAGTTTTAAATATGTTGCTGTTTTTCCAATGACTTATTTTCCTTGTAAATATTGTTTACAAAACTTTCTCTTACCCTTCTGTGTTTTCAGCAGTAAAGCAAAGTATATTCTCGCCTTCTTGTTGCTTAGTAGGTGTCCATGTTAGATTTACATAAAACAATCGATTATCACTTTGCACTTGACCAACTTCTGATTTTGAAAATCCAAACGGTGAGACGGTTACAATGTCAGATATCCTAGATGTAACAAGCAAAAACAAGTTACTAGTAATAACATCATTTCATCAGTTATATATCTAATAATCTCATTGCATTGTGCTTTAGAAGTGTGCTTATATAAATTCTGTAAAAAATTATCTTCATATTTTTCAAAATCTAAAAAAAAAATAATATAGGCCTAATGTAATTTTAACGTCATGAAATTTTGTAGAATTTGGTTTAGGTAAACCTATCAAACGTACATATAAATAATGTGTTTGTAGATATCGTTACTGTAACTATACTTTGTCTGCACGTCAACATGAAAAATATAATATGAACATGATACTATAGAAATTGCAAATTGCAAGTGAAGTGCTGCGAAGTACAACTGCATATAAATGTTCTTCGAACAAAATTATTTATGCGAGTCAAGTGAAAATAATGAATAATAAAAATATAACAAATAATATGAGACCGACCCATTGTCTATATTAGAACACTTCTCATTGAGTAAAAAAGTCGTAATTTTTCATTTTTGTCAAAAAGTGTCTATAGTGGTGAATTATGGTTTAGGTTTTTTTAATAAAGTTTCAAAAATTTCTATGTATGTGGAAAATGTAGTTGATTACCAAAGGTTACAATTTTTATTTTGAAGACTACATGGTCTAGAAAGTTTACATTTTTTTATGGGGCAAGTTTCTAAGGGCGGGTTTTCTAGGGGCGAGTTGACTGCCAAAGAGTGTTGCCAAAGTGCGAGCCAGCGTGTTATTTGGTCACAAGTGCGAGACATCGCAAGTGTGTGAGCCAGCGAGCCATGATGTCACGACAATAGATACGAGACGTTGCTCGATTTGTGCGAGGTATCGGCTGAGATTTGTGGAGTACAATTCAAAAAACAACTATAGGTCTAATAATGAATTATTTATGATGTTAAATAGACAATGTTAGCTATCAAGGAGCGACGTTGTTTTTCACTGGGACCTTCGTCCCTTCAAGGCTAGGCCTATAGGCCTACCATCCTATCTAATCTAAGCCTAGAGTAGGATAAGGCTGCGCGACATGCGGACGTTGGTACGTGTTGGTTAGTCTACAAACGTCGCCTAAAGTAATTGATTTTACCCGACAGAACGAAAGAAGGAAACTCCGCTTTTCAGTCGTCTTAAGCCCTTGTTTTTTGACAAACATTGACCTTTCAGAGGTCAAATTGCTGTCAAGAATATGAATTGGCTGCTTCGCAGCAAAAAGTTGCTGATTACTAACCCCGATCCCTCCATTCCGCTGTCCGCAACAATTGTTTGAAAATATGTCTCATTTTCTGGAACTGCGATACATGCCCCATCTTTCGGTGTTGGGTCAATAAAGTATGGTGCACTACTACAAGGCATAGCATTGTTGTAAACATCTACTAAAAATTGAAGAGGTATTTGACTCAATGGTGAAGTAGACAATGGACTTGCAAAATCCTCAATCATCAGTGCCACAGCATACCATCCTACCTGATATTTGGCCTGATATGTAATGGTGCATGTAGCCTGTGAAACAGAAAGTGTACTTTAGAAGTCAGTCTTCTCAATAGGCAGTACAATGCATTATTATATCATTGTTTTCGTATATTCTATAGTAGGCCTATAATAATAATAATATAATAATAATAACAATCATAATAATATTCATATTAATCTTAATCACATCATAATCATAATAATAATAGTAATAATGATGATAGTAATGTAGAGTTTTAATTTGTGTACAGGTTTAAATAAGGTATTTTCAAGTTGTTTTTTTTTAAATACAGGTAAACTAACAAATTGTTTAAAAGTATAAGGAAGTTCATTCCATAACTTAGGACCTGCAGCAGTAATAAATATTTGACTACAGTTAAGTCAATGGAAGTTTCTTATGAATATACCTATACATGAAATTTGCTATTTCAGTTTTATGAAGATTGTAAAATACTGTGTATTTTGAGTTGTTTAAAAAAAGGTTCAGATGATCGTCTATAATGAGAATGAGTAGTTATTCTGGCAGGACATTTCTGCAGTATATGAAGCACTTCTGGATTTTTACGGTAGTCGGACGCCCAAATTAAATTACAATACTGAAGATAGGGAAGAATTAAGGTATTGCAAAGCGAGATTAATATTGATGGGGAAAATAAACTAAGCTTACATATGATACTGATTGACTTAGAAATTTTGTTGGAAATATAGTTATGATGAATGGTCCATTTCAAGTTCTCTTGTATAAACACACCCAAAAAAAGCTCCTCACTCTTTCGCTCAATGTAACACCAAAAAAGAGATATTGTGCTTATTTAAATTTAAATTAGGACTTTGTGGAGTATGGATAAAAATATAGTTTGTTTTGAGTGCGGATACAACTTATTCGAGATGAACCACTCATCAAATTTGGGCAATTCGTTATTTACAGTATTGTATAGAATGACAGAATGACAAAATAAACTAAGCATCCACTGGTAGGAATCCCAATATCTGCAGACGGATCCGTTTCGGCCTTCCAGGCCTCATCAGTGCAGCTAGGGTATAGACCCAAACGACACGTTTGACCAGCTTAGGTAGGGCCCAAACTAGTCCCACGACCACTAATGATTACAGAGCCAAACAAAGGCAATATATATACACAGCCCAGGTGTGAATGCAAATAGTGGAATACAAGCTATGTGGCTCGGTTCCAGTAGATGCAGAGAATATTTAGTCACTCTTATCGCGTTCTACGAAATTCTTACGAGACAGCACTAGTCTGTGAATCTGTGAACAAGATCGGAGATCTAAAGATGCAATCTCTACCGTGCATCAGTGGCGGCCCGCTGGATCTCAATAGAGATTCTTTAATAATATATAAATTTTGAAAGGCAAATGGGATAAACCCATAAAACAGCAAACGGCCACATAATGCAAAACTATTTAAAATTAAAACGGAACAGTAGAGAAAATCCGATCAGAAAGACGGCGTTTATGTTAACAACTGCAGTGTTATTTTATATATATAGTGATAGTTTTGCATGCTGTATTATGACGTATTATGACGTATTGTTGAGTAATAAGCAGGCAAAAGCAGTTATAGTATTTCAGTCGACATATTTGATTTTTGCACTACATCGATAGTTCTTTTTCTTTATTTTAATAGATTTTGCTAGCACAACAATACCCACAGTTCGGATATCGTAATAATCTATCGTCTGCACTATAACATTACTCATTATAAATTTTGTAAAGGCAAGAAAAATACATTTCTTGTAAGAATAATACTTTAAATAGTTTTTACTTTAAACCTTGCGTTTACTTACCTCATCCAGTACAGCATTTAGAAATCCTCCGCACACATCTCCACACTCTCTAGATCCTACGGCCCATCGACATCTTACAGTATCACTGTCCGGATCAGTTACTAATTTTAAAGATTACATTTTCCAACAAAAGAGACAAAAACAAAATCCGTATTCAAAAAATTAGAGCAGTTTGCTCTCAACCTGGGCCATGTTTTGTAATGATTAAAATTATAAGGTGTTGGTGCCTTTAACAATTAATGATTTGCGAATCAATGTTTACAGTTTATGCTATTAAGTGCAGAATATAGTTCTGTTCCATCCTCATTTACCACAAAACCCGACTTATCCACGAAAACTCGGGAAATCAAACAAGGGTCTCTTATCATAGCTAATTACACTCTAATTATCAGGAAGGCTAGACCGCGGTACATGAAGGGTTATCGCGGCTAGGAAAGTCATTATCTCAGAAGAGTGCTGCCATAGCAATACTCAATTCATACTGAGTTTACTGTAAAAAGAAAAAAAGATCTATTTTGTTGAAAATCGTATGAAATATGTTAACATTTGTCTTTAGCAGAAAAAGCTGTCCTACCTATGAGTTCGAATCGTAAAAAACGAGCCGTTTTACGAGAAGTTACAAAAGTGCAGGCCTATTACTAGGCCTAGCCTAGGCCGACTTGGTATAGGCGTCGTAACGACGACATGAAGTGTCTCAAAAAAAGGCGGATGAATATATTGGTTTGAACTTGATTCACTTTGAATCCATTTATTAGTAATATTTTTTATTGATGAAAATTAGTGTGTAAAATATTTAGAAACTTCTTTAAATATACGAATCGTTTAATATATAATTGTGTGTTGTAAATAAAAATAATACAACGGTACAGTAATTGGGAACTATTTGCCAGCGTATATGACAGAAAAACACCAGCAGTAAATAATAAAAGAGCGCTTGGTTTGATCGTCAGATGATTCGTGTCATATGTTGTAAATTTGTAAACAGACTGTAGTTGACAGTACTGAGAGATGGAAAAAATTAGGTCGGCAAAAATTTCCCGACCTTAAATTCTCAGAGGTCGGCAGCCTCGGCCATTTTTTACTACCTAGGCCTATAGTATTAACTACGATTTTTCCGAACGCTTGAACTTTCATCGTCATCTACAAATTGTGATTTGGTAAAATTTATCATTGCTGGTGAAGAAATGGTCGTACTTTCGTACTATTAATTTAATACTGTAGTATAATACATATATGTTTTACGTAAGAAAATCGCCGAATATATTTCGTTTTAACGTTCGTTTTATCGTTATCTTTGGCATGGGAAATATCACTTCGTGAAAGCTCCGATCGTATCATGACAGGCCACAGGCTGCTTCAAAACGGCTCATGCATGTCCATGCGCATGCCCAGAATGATCAATCAGGGATTTTCCACATGTACTTGTTAGATAGTAGTGAAGTCCCGACTCACGATATGATCGTGATTGCGTTTAAACTGATGGTAGGATTAGGCCTACAATTATGTTGTTTTTAGATAATAAACAACATTTTAAAAATGACGATAATACTGTAAAATGAAGACAAATAATAGATTTAGACGAGCATTACGATCTACGCGGCCCACGTGGCTTGAATCGGGCGATGTTGTAGGCCTTTGTTGACTAGCGTCATTCCTACCTAGGCCTAGCCTACGAAACGACTAGGCGAGAAAGACAAGTCGAATGTACACAAATCGTACGTAATGCATGCCTATTATAAATAGTTATTGTACAGACAAATCTGTTTTATGAACCACCAATTTCCTTGGTTTGACGACGTACATGAAATTTAGTGTCTGCGATAGCCTGTTTCAGTCAAAGTTTTGGCTTTCCAAGCAGTTTTTGAAGCCGTAGAAAAAAAAACTGTTTAACAACACCTTGAATTTGTTTCTAATAAATTATAATAAAAACCGGATGATATTGTTGCGTATTATTTCCGTTAAACATTTGTGTTTGTGAGCATGGAGTATGGTGAAAATAGTTCCAGTTTACTGTCTGCCTGTGAAAATTGATTCTGTTTCTAATTACTTAACACTTATCTGATATCTTGTGGAGCTTGTAATTAACTCAAGGACACTACACCCTGGTTGCAAGAGCTGAGGTAAATTTTGGTAAAGGAGGATGGAAACTCATGTTAGAAACAAATATTCTTCTATAGTCACACATAAAAGAAGAAAAAAATGATAATGATTTCTCCATATCAAAAACGTTAAGGTAGAACCTCCAATATTCATAACCTATAGTGTAGCATATTACTAATTAAAATAGCAACAGTCATCGATGTAAAGTGGCTCTGACCAGATTCTTCAATATATAATTTTGAAATATGAACTCTATACTCTATAACTTATAGTCTTTTTCAGACTGAAAATAATATATACTGTATTGCTGTTAAATGTATGTATATATATATA